CCTCGCCACATGTGTTTTGCATGCCTTTTTAAATCTTTAATCAACTTTTTATTTCCTTTTTTGAAAGATGGAGTAGAGTTCAGGTTTCCTGTGTCCCTGAACTGAATTGTTTTTGAACCTATTGTTCTTTTAAAAAAAGCTTTTAAAGTCAAAACAATTTTTCATTACAGAGTGTAATATGTGGATAACATTCGAAGCAGAATATTAGAATGACACATAAATTGAAAATACATGTAAATGTTGAAAAGAAACACAATAGGGACTAAAACTGTCCAAATAAGGTAAACATCACTAAAATTGTTCTCTCCATGAGCAAATAACAAGCAACATAACAGTAACAACAAATACAGACACTAGATTCTAAGTCTTATTACAAAACACTTCCTGAGAAATTGCAAACACCTCAAACCTGCATCGCCAACATCTCTGCTGTAGGTGATACTGTACATCTTACAAAATGATGCAAATTATGCCAATCAGAGTTTGTTAATTTGATTTTCTATATCATATTCACTGTATGTGTGTTTGTATAGAAAACTCAATATTGAACTTCAATACTTCTCAGACTTAATATATTTTTATTTAAAAAATGAACTAACCCACAGAAAACAACGTGGATGTCTGTTGTTTTGAAAGAGACATCAGATATGCGATTGCCTGAGGTTTGCAAAAAAACATGGCAGAATATAGTCACACACATCAAATGCTCTAATTAGTATGGCAAATCTGTCAGTTGTATGAAATGTCTTTCTTTTCTTTCTTTTCATGTAAACTACAGCACGTTACATGTGTACAACCTCTATGTACCGGAAATTAATACTAGTATTACATATTAGTATTAAAAATGCATTCTTATTTTGAAGTTTTTCCTCTACAACAAGGAAATCATGTACTGTAATTGCCTTGTGTGTACACAATCTGAAACACCTGACACACTGTTGGCTTAATGTCACCAGATGTATCTGTTTTCTCTGAAAGACTCTGATTAACACAATCAAACTAATGGTTTAATGTGTTTGGGAAGAGCATTACATGTTCACACAAGACTTACAGTACAGTGTCTCCCAGGCCTAATCTAAATCTTGCATGACATGAATGACCTACGATACAAACATCCACACACATGCACTGCCTGACATTACCCCTCGATGTACTGTATACTGTAGTTGGTACATAAGGCTGCTAGTGCAATCTCTATGTTTCTCATTTTGTGTGGTCAAATCAGTCTTAACAGCAACTGCTTTAAATGCAACTAAAATAGCCCGTGATTCCCTTTAACTTGTGCATCAATTACTGGACCTGCTTGTGAAATCAGACAAACAAATACATTCATCATATCATTAAAACCGATGTGTTCATTCAAATTGAGCATTTACACAATTTTCTGAAATGAATGCCTCTTCTTTAGTTTTGAAAACCCTACATAATTATTAATTGAGTAGTTTGTGTTGAAGATCACACTTTAGGAATCACAAGACGGTTTCTCTTGGCCCAAGTGTTCATATAGAAACACAGACACATCCATCCACTCATTATCAGAAAGCTCATTATGGCAGGTAAGGATTTTGCAATCTCAGAGCCTGTCCCAAAAACGCAGGGCATAACATAGGATACGCCTATGGAAATAAAAATAAGTGCCACAATAAGAACAAACTTGAAAGTTTGAATAAGCTAAATCATGGACATTATACATTCTTGATAAAGATACATTTTAAAAGTCAGAATACATCAGTTCAATTTGCACTACAATAACGACGAATAAAGGTCTGTCTTGAAGGGCCAGCCATGACTAAGTAAGGAAATGGTAGACAGGTAGTCAAACCACAACAGCTCATGGTCCATATGACTGCCCCTCTAGATGGGATGCCACCATCCCCAGCCCCAACACACAGTAGTCTAGCAGCTGGGAAGAATGGAGACACTGGGGTAAAGTACCTCACTCAAGTTACAACAATACTGTCTGCCACTGCCACAGCACAAATGAGACAAGGGTTTCCAGCCCAGTCTGAACATTTCATTCTACTTCTCTGTTAGTCCTATAGCCAGTACTAACTGTACTGGGAACAAGTCTCCAAGTATGAAATCCTCTTGAAACACCTTTGGAAAGGCACATTTCAGAGTGGCTAATGACAGAATCTGCCCAAATTGCAGACTAAAACTTACATTACAAGTACCAAGTACATTAACAGACCTGGGATATGTATTCAGCCAATTGTGATTGGGGTTCCCTGAGCAGAATACACATCTCTAAGTGTGATAAAACAAGCAAGGGACAGTCTTAAGACCAGAAAAAAAATATTTACAAACAATTGTTGCATATTCAGATGGTACAGGGACAGTTAAGGATTAAACAGTAATCGGAATGAACTGCTTTCAGATTATGTCAGGGTATGTTTTCACCATTGTTGAAACCATCCTGGCTAAAATCACAGAGCATAATTTGAAAATAACAACAGCTCTTGAAAATATGACAGACATAAAATGTTCACTCATCTGTCTTTTCTTTAATGCATCACTAATAAATCATAAGAAGGCGCATGTGTCATAAGAGTATCCTGTGGTTAACTCTTTTCAAGACAGCTAAAAATAAAGTATTTCAAATAATTTATGCTAAAGATAAAATAATAAGCAAACAGAATATGCCATAATAATTTATTTTGCAAACGTTGGAAATTAGCTCATGAAAACATAGAAGGGATCTTTCTAGTCACCGTGTTAATTTGACGAGTCCCGACAGTACCTATACTCATCAACATCATTGTGTCTTTCAAGTGGGGACCTGCATCAATGTGCATCAATGGAACAAATAAAGGTTAATTCTACAATGAAAAGTAGAAAGAAGAACCCACTGACTTTGTTATAATTTGGAACGGAGACATTAATGGTGTCACGAGTCATTATCAACAGATCAAAACTGATAGAATTGAATTCCCATTTAAAAGCATTTACAGAACTGAGACATTGGATCTCTGATCTGAATGCTGTAGATACATGGCTTGTGTTACATTTATCAGCCAGAGGACTTACTTTTTTCGACTAGGGATAAATCACATTGACGAATGTGCTACATTTTTAAACTCTCAATCTCTCTTTTTCTGAGCTCCACTATACTGAGATACTGCATTTTCCCTATTGGAGCACTAGACCAATTTCTACAGATTTGTTTCTGATGATAAATAAATAAAGCACAATCACAGTTTAAAATTGGTATTTTAAAACCAGCCTAATATAACATAAAACTTTTAGAACCCTTAAGACTTTTAGAACAGTTCAAGCTAAATTGTAATACTTTCTAGATTTCAGCCATGGCTTGGTCAAAGAACTTCACATTGTATATGGTCAATAACAAAGGTTTGATTGAATACAATTCAAATGTTTTTGTCTCACACCTGAATAAATCTGAACTAAGTAAACCTAATTACTTGAAAACCAAGTTGGATTTTCTAGATTGAATTGCACAGCACCTCACGACTGAGACCATGGCATTGAAAATCAAAATTTTAAGAAAATAATTGAATTCCCTGTTTAGACATCACATTGAATTTCATATCCACATATCTTTGCAGAGTCATTATTTCAATGGCTGACATACTAGGCAGTTTTTGAGACCCTGCAGGAATAAATGTTTTGCCGATATTCCTGCCATTAGATCGGCACAGGGGGTGTACTATTAGATTCTGTGCTGATAAGCTTTACATTTAGTATATCCTTCTATAAGTATACAGTTTAGAAACTAGATTTGATCAGAAACAGTGTATGTTTTCTCCACTCACTTCACTTGCCTGTTCATTTTCCCGCAGAGGCAATTGTAGTGTAAATCACTAAGCTAAAAGAGGAGCTACAGGACATTTTACCAGACTGTTTAGCTCCAATTAAGTGCACTTTGCTTGACATGATGCATATGGCCATTGAGGAAGGCTCTTTTTGGAGGGACAGTAACACTTTTGTTATAGCCCTTTTATTGAAAAAAATAAAGATCTAACAATTTGTGCAAGCAATCATCCCATTGCACAGATCACTCAGACACCAAGCTGTATGCTCTGATGGATCATCACGCTGACTAGAAGTTTATATGACCAAAGTAGTTGACTATAAACAGGCAGGCTTTATGAAAAATGAAAAAGTATTCTTTTCAATTTGTTACATCTTGAGGAACTCATCTGGGATGCCTGCTTTCACATTTCTTTGACTTCTTTAGGGAACATCTAATTTCAGAGCTGGTCATCGGTGTATTACCTTCTCTCTTGTTACTTACAGTAACAATTACTTAACAATACTAAACATTTTTGTATTGCCTATTCCGACGATTCATTGTTTTATATAGGCAATGTGAAGAAATTCTGATCTCACCATAAAGACTTCAATATTTGCTTTTTTCAGGGTACAAATATTGATATTGCACATTATAGATATAGAATTTTTCTAAAACCAAAATATCCTATTTCATTGTTTTCTATATTTATTTCTGGGAAGTACCTGACAACATTTTCATGATACATTCTGATCACATTACACTAAACAACATAAGAATGTATGACTTGGACATCTCACGATCACCCTGACACATTTCTGTTTATCTTTTAAAATGAATTTTGCCCAATTTGTACTCTTCGGTTATCATTTTACTAAACATTCATAAATGTTTCAAGTCAGGTTTCATTTTGGTTTTACTATGTAAGTGCATTAGTACTAACCATGTTCTGAAATATTTTTAGACATCCTATTTTCTTTTTATAGAATGACTTTCCACATATAAATATGTTAATCAAGTATCTCAGCCTAATACTGTGGCAAATTAAGGATGATATAACATTCAACCCCTGTACAAAACTTCAGAATCATATAACATTGGCATCCCAGATAAGTGAAAAGATTATTTTTCAATTAAAATATCTATCTTACAACATAGGTGCATACAATAAGAGAGAGGAAGAAAGAAACATTTGTATTTCATACAAGCTAGTTTCAAAATTGTAAAAAGCAAAGAAACAACAGCTCACCTAAAACTCCTAGCCTGTAGTTCAGGGTGACAACGATGACATTCCCATAACTGGCTAGAATGCTCCCATCAATCATGTTTCCTGTTCCCTCCATGTAGGACCCACCGTGGATGTAGACCATTACTGGCTTCAAGCCATTCTCATCATGGATATCTAAAAATGAAGGAAAGACACCCCGTAAAGTTACAAAGCAAACATAACAAGAACCTTTTTAAAACTGAAAACAATACCAACACAACAACAAAAAAACACTAGTGCCTTCAGCCCATCCTTACAGGAGGAAGGCCTGCTGCTGTGGTTCAGTTTTTATATTTATTGACAAGGAAATACCAAATGTTATTAAACATGGCCATACTTTATTTGTTAAAATTTCCTAAGGTATGAGGCTTTAACAGAATTATTTGCTAGTTGACAATCTCTCTTATTTGTTTGTAGAGAGATATGAAAATCTTTTATACAAAAAGGCAAAAGAAGTGTTAGTTATTTTCAGTCATGTAATTTTGCAAGTGACTTCTGGCTTCTCAGTACTGCAACAACAATGTTATAAATCAATTGTAGAATTAGCATTAAAAAAATATACATTTCAAATCTAGAGTGATGTACAAATACAATTTTCTCTCTTTTTTTAGGAGGTAATCATATTTATGATATGGATTTCTATGTATGTAGCCTGTATACAGTATATAGACTTTAATAAAAATTAAGAGCAAATAAATGATCAAATTACAGATGAAGGTAAATCACATACATTAATATTTTAAGAATATCGAATTAATGTAGACCACTCTAGTTTTGATTCATGTAATATATTAATACATTAATACATACATACTGTACAGTACATGATAAATTATAATATTAGTATGACAAAACAGCAAAATTACAAATAATATAAATGTACAACTTGCAAATTGCATGAATTCACAAAAATGATGAATGCAAGGTAATCTGTTTTGTCACTTTCAGGACTTTCAGCTTTCAGCACTGACTTTATTATCAGTCCACATTTTCTTGTTTCATGTCCATCTTTTAAATTTGCCTTAGGCCCATCTGGCTCCCGCTTGAAAACAGTCAAAGTGCTAATTACAAACTAGGCGAGACGTTTTCCACTTCACATCACAACCACGGAGTGTTTTAAGCACAGTTTAAAGGTGAAGTCAATCACTGCTCACAGAGCCCATTTCACTCACATTTCAGCCCAACAGTTTACCAACTGATGTTCAACATGGTAACATGTTTATTTTTCCAGTTGTTCAATGACACATCTTCTTCAACACACATCCTCTTCAATAGTGTATGTAGTGAACGATAATTACAACTATAATATTTTAACATAATTATGGTTAACTAGAATAAAAAAATTATGTCCAGAAGGCGATTAACACAGTTTTTTAATTTGGGAAGTAGTGAAGAAGAAAAGTCTGCTAATTGAATTTTAAAAGGATGTATGTCATTATAAAATAAACACCAGAAGTGTGGAACACTATGATTTTTCTTTGTGTAACAACATTATACTTTGTGACAGGCGTGATAGTTGCTCAAAGGTTTTTTCTTCTGTTGCCGCTCAGTTAATTAAAAGGCAGCTCATTGTTGATTTTGACATATTACAGAGTCCATGTTGGCTTTCAACATATGTTTATGTACTGCAGATGCTTCCAGAAATCCAACAATATCCATATGGCCTAAACACAAGACAAAACTATTGTATTTAATCCTTTTTTCACTTCCAGGAGTTTATTTGATCAGCCAAGTCTTGAAAAAATACAACATGCCCTGTATCTTTTCGTCACTTGTTCAAGAAAACACAATCATCTTTTGACAGAACTCTGTATGTGCCTTCTTCACTCTCCGAATTTGCAGCTCTGAAAATATTATGTGCTCTACAAATCAATCTTATTTTTTCTAATATGGCTAGCTTTATGTCACCCACTGCACAGGGCTCAGAGCAACAGGGACAGGAGGACTTACTGCAATAAACCAGTCAATAACACTTCAGGCACGATCAGATTGTTCTGCGATTGTGCTGCTGTGCAGGAGCCATGCTGCACACTGACTGCCATGTTTGGTAAATGGTAGTTTTTCCTTCCGAAGTAGCAATCAAAGCCGTTGATCTTGTGGGATAGCAGAAGAAAATTAATTCTAGTCACGTTGCACATTCAGCAGTGAATGGACGACCCTATGGGCAATGCTCATTGCACTCACCACTGCCATTAAATGTTTCCTACAGAAAGTATTGTGACAGGTAATTAATCTCTCCAATGTATTGAGTATATGCCTACTTCTCTTTTTTTTTGCAATTTCATATGAGCCATTGAGGCTCTTCACTTCTGATGGGACTTTAGATAGTGATGAGACATTTATGCCAGTCATATTGCATTGACTCTTGCAAAGCTGCAGTGCTTCCTCCACCTTCCCAAGTGTATGTCATTAGAGAAATGGATTTTGATATTTCACAGTAGGCATGCGAACTTTAGAATGTTTTTCTAATAGCTCATTTGTCCATTCCACGCATGTGATGTCCTGGAAAGATGGCTTGTAAGGGTATATTGCAAGTTGCACAGTCATATTACATTGCTTTCATTGCTGTTCCATACTAAGACAACCATCCTAACTTATTATTAACAGCTGAAAGGCACATAAAATTCAGGGAATTCATCATAACCATGATACATCCTAAACATATTTATTTTATTTATTTTTCTTCTTGGTCAATTACTTTTTTTTCACAGAAGTATTTTCACAGTAGTATGTAGCAGTCTAATCCAGTAGGATATGCCACATTTCCCAGTGAAAATACCTTTCCCAATCTTTTTTTTCTCTCTCTCCTTTTAAATACTCACTTAATCATTCCAGTGATTAATGGGTTGGATTAACCTCACAATACGGTGATGTTAGTCCAACCAAAAAGTCTGTCTAAACTCTTTTTTTTTCAGTGCTTTCTCTACAGGATTAAAAGTAGAGTGCTACCACCCCAATATATTATAATATACATGGCTGTCAGATATTAATTGAATAGAGCTCAGGCATTCCAGTGGCAATTGGTTATTTTTTCCCAGCAAATTCTGGAAGCATTTTGTCAATGCTCAGGTGTACAAGATACATTTTTCACTAAAATTATTGCTCATATGAAGAAATGAGTATGATATTACTGCCACTGGTTTAACAGTGTACTACTATGGAAAGGAGAGCTTCCCTTGAAACATCTCTGGTGTAGGCATCAGTAGCAATTGGGAGAGAAGGCTTTATATGCTGGAGAACCATATGATAACAGCACTTCAGGCTGCTTCAAAGCAGTATTCAGCAAGAAAAATAATTGAATACTGTACAGTATATTAAAATATACTGAATTTTACATTTATTTATTAAAATTCCCTGAATTTCCTCTTTCCATATATATATAAAATATATATGAGAAAAAATATGTAAATGGAAGTTAATGTACATGCAGCATACAGTATAACATTTCATACACTACATTTAAGGCTCTTTCCAAGATGCTCTGTATTCCATAGTGGCCCTTAAAGTTACCTCTTCTTCCTATAATACACCTGTGTAGATGGCAGATGTATACAGCATACTGAAGTAGCACAAAGCTCAGAACAGTTCTCACGCAGGGTGGGGTTGAAATAAAATGCAGGACTTTTAACAAAAAGCATTGTACTGCTTAACCATTACTTTAAAGCTCTCAGGTCGCACAGATTATTATAAGTAAATGTAAGTAAAGATTTACATTGCAGTGCATGTCAATACATTTATCAACTAGTATGTCGCTATGGTCTGTGTTATGCACAATATTAAAGCCAGTAAGTGATCAGTAAAATTCTGTCCCTAAAGAGAACACTCAATGCGGTATTAATGTGGATAGAACATGTGTCATATATGATTTAAAATTTGTATGTTTTTAATCAGGGCTTCATCCAGAATTTTTAGAGTAAATCTGGAATCCCATTTATTGTTTATTAAATACCCACTAAATATTGAATTGCCAGCTGTTTTAAGACTTAGCTCTCCACCAGCAACTTCTGCACTTGCTCAGCTGAGCTTCTACAGTATGTGCCTCAAAGTCATTTCCTTGGCCCACTCATCTCCAGACTATACTAGACATGCAGGTTGTAATATTTGAAGATGTAATGAATACTTAGTGGGGATATGAGAAAAATCATTGATCTAAATGTTCTATATAATGCCTTTTCTGTATTAGAAAGGTCATATTTCACAGTGGTTCTATTTCTGTGCACCTGTTTAGCCTAGTAAAATCATTTCAAAAACATATGATGTTAAAAACCAACGATTAAGAAACAAAATACTGCTGCAAATAAGGTCAAAATTCTGAGTCTGTGTAAATTCTGTAAAAGCCTACAGAGCCCAGCTATGAGAACATGCCAGCACCACTGCTGAAAGCACTCTTTAGTTCCAGTGTGTAATATCACAGTGACTCTTAAAACAGCTCTTAGTGTGGGCTCTACGGAAAATTGAAAGGCTTCTATTATTGCTGAGAAGGAGCAAATGCCTGGAAAATGCCCATGATTTTGTATTCTTATTATTTTCTTTTACTTTTTATATCAGTTTTTTTCTAGATCTGCATTTTTCTTTTACCAAAAGCAGCAAACTGTGGAGCCAATTTATTAAAAATGACCAATTTTTTCATTGGTCATTTTTATTTTAATCTGCAAAAGTGTTTTCTAGCATCAAAACTTTGTTAATAATTTGACATTCCAGTTTCAATGTCACATTCTTTCTTTCAGCTTCACTTTCTTACTCAAATGTTACCAAATAAAACCTCCTAACACTGCTCCAAAAATAGCAGAGATCCTGTTATAACACTGCCTACCTTTAGCTTATCACGTGTGCACACATTGTTATTGTATGTAGATTTGCTGTTCTAATCCAACAGAATTAATAATGGAAAGCACTGAAACAACATTATGTGGCTGTATGGTAACATGTTTTGTAACAGACCACAATGTACAGGTAACGTGGAACAAAATGCTGTTTTTAATATGAAGAAGAGATAGGTTTCCAATAGGTAGAATAATCTTTCCACAACAAATTCATTTTTTGATTTTGGCTTTTTAACATAATCATGAATGGTGGTTTTATCCTGCTACATACAGTAGACACTGCAATGTACATACAATATTTCAATGGGTGAAAAGCTATACTGGGTTTCATGCAAAAAGGCAAGCTACAGTATCTCTATGACAGAAACATATATATACACAGGGACAAATTAACAGCATCGTACTGTCAAAACAAGGGTTAGTTTTCATGCTTCACTGGGTAATGTAAAATGAACAGGACCAACATGACTTTTTCCATTTTTCTCAAAGGGTTTTAGAAAGGGAAATAACAATTAAAACACATGCATAGTTTCAATTCCCATCCTCAACTTTCTAGCACTGGAAAGGGAATGGATTCAATAGTAAATAAAGTTTATTATATTGCTCACTTCACACACATTTAGAGATAACCTTTAACGTATCTCACAGGGGAACCGCAGTCATCTATATGCTAATTTTTTGAAAGAAGAAAGTGGTTTGAAAAACAAAAAGAGAAATCAAGAAGTGCCCACAAGTATGCACTTCAAGGAAAAAAAAAACAAATTAATTCACAAAAAATCAAAAGGTTTTTGTCATGCACTGTATCAAGCTTTTTTTTTTCTTTTTTAAAAAGAAAAAATACCTTCATCTTCACCACCATCATTACTGGTTATATCATCAGCTTGTTTCTTTGAGTTGGCTCCTAAGGTCAACAGGAGAAGAGTAAAGGGAAAAAAGAGATTTCAAAAAACAGCAGGTTTCTCAAAAAAAAAACATTTGGTAAAAAATGCATTCAAAAGTAGTCCCATCAAAAATGTCAATAATTTGAAAAAAAAAACTACCTGCAAAATATAACCACCTCATGTCACCTTCACCTTCACTGAAAGGAAGTACTTGGAAATTGAAGATTTATTTAAAAAAAATACACCAAAAAAGCAGATTGAAACAAAACCACAAAACAACATTTTTTGGCAAAAAATAAATGAAATCAGTTTTCCTTGCTGATAGTAGAAAAACATGAATATGAAGTACTCATATCACTTAGCTGAAACTTGACAAGAACAAAATACGTACCACCAATTCCAGTTGATAATGAAACTATAAATGCTTGACATAAACCCAAACTCAGCTCATGTAAATAACATACTCTGTTGTAGATGTGTAATCACAATTCAGAGTTGTACCCTTTAGTTTCAAAACCCTTAAGCTGTTATTCTTTTTACATCTAGTGTAAAATGTAAGATAAACCTGTTATAAATACAGTATGTTAGATCTCAACCAATAAACTTAATGTTCATGGTCATCCTGTTCATGGAGGTACCTAAATAATTTAAATATTATTACTATTTAAAATAAAATATGTAAAATAAAATTGTATCAATACTACTAATAATCACTAAAAGGAAGCTAACACTGTAGCATTCCAAAGTTTCAGTATTACTTTAACAGAACACAGAAGATTACAATACCTTTTCAACAAAATCTGTCTTTACAGTTTGTAAAGAAATTTCAAAGCTGAATCAATGTATTGGTCCCTTTCTACTTCCCACATGCACCCTGCACTAGCTATTGATTTACAGTATACTGCTTACAAAGGATGATGATTTATTTATATATATGATACCACATCTTAAAGTGTTGATTGTTAAAAAAGCAAAAGACATAACATGTAAAAATTAATTCCATGCAGAAAAGAGAAGAAAAGAGACACAATATTTCGGCTGTGGAGCCAAAACGTTGTCTCTTTTCTGCATGGAATGAACCTTTACTTGTTCTTTTGCAGCCTATGCATGATGACGCAGCTACCTACTTGAACTACAAAGACAGAACAGGATGAATTTAGCATGATGCTGATAACAATTAACAATTATTTCCTTGAGCATCCTTTAAGTATGGCACCAAATATTGTGAATTAATCAATCTGCATCCATGGCTGAAATTGCTGCCATTTTCTAGGTGTTGCTACTGACTTCAGTTTTTGGTTAAAAATGGTATAGCAGTTTTGTTTTTTACTTTCTTGCAAAATACTGAAATGTCATTTTTGTCACTACAATCTTCATACTATTATTATACATTATTATGTTTAGCAATTTTTGGTTCTCCTTATGAGTGTACTCCTCTGCAATAATATATCATGGTGACTGTTCCATTACACAAAGCAGAATTTAATTAATGCCATTTTGTTTTCTTGCATTTCAGAGAGAGCAGCAAAAAGTGAAGGTCAGTGATTTCAAACCAAAAATCAAGCATAAGATTTTTACAGGAAAACCAGAAAAGGGAGCTATGAAATCCTCTACAATACGTCAGTTTTCAAAATGAAAATGAAAAAAAAACACATTAAATTTCGTAATTGAATCATCACTGGGTTACAGTTTACAATCCAGGGTTTTCATGCGCTTTGCCTCTGCAGTAAGGACGTATATTACAGTCTTCTCACTAAAGAACAATTGAGAAGAATTGTTGTGTTTACACAATTTACAAGGCAATTATTTCCCATGATTAAAACAAGCAAGCATTGATTTATTCACTAGTTGCTCTGCTATCAGTACAAAATTAAGTACATGCAATGGTGAAGAGATTAAATCAACAGTTGACCAGTAGACGAGTAGAAATATTGTAGTGTAGATTGACTCAGGCTTGTCAGAAACACAAGGATCATACATTATATATACTGTAGACTGTATATAAACAGACATATACATTATATAAGATGTTCTATTTGTGATAATTTTCTAAAACCCAGCTTGAATGTTGTTTTAAATGTTTCAAACTGTCTGATAAGAAAAATGTAATGTATGCAACAAATTCAATCTGGTAGTTTGTCAACACAAAGTAGTGGTTTGTCACTGTTGTTATCAACGCACAATAAAAAGCATGTGAATCAACAATCTTTAAAATTGCCAAACCCCATCTAGATATGTTTCATTAAACTCGTGTCTGTTTAATGGAAAACTCTCTAAAGGAGAAATTCAGAAATATAAAGAAATATTTAAAGGGAAATTGGCCTCTAATATACACTTACTTTACCTTAATTAAATTTGCCTTCTCAGAATGTCAAACTGAGTCTCCCCACAGTCCTTATATTTTACAGAGCATGTACTAAAGTACAATTTTTGTTTAGATTACATTGCTTTTTGAGTCAGGGAGTAGAAGCAGCAGTAGAAGCAGGAGAACTCTGCTGCCGGCATTAGATTCCATTATTGCATAAATTCAATAACACTTATTGTAAACCAAACATAGGCTATGTAGACTCAGAACAAACAAGACCAAGAATACAATTTCTTATAAGCAACCAAACATAATGTAATACAAATATACAAATATATTGCATAAATATATCAGATTTGTCAATATCTCAAAAAAATAAAATGATGGCACATTTGTTCACTTCATGAAGCAGGGTAATATATACCACATACTGCATTAGGTAATAGAAGTTCAAGTCTAAAGAAGGGTCTATAGCCAAAACACTGCATTTCTTCTCTTTTCAGCATGGAATAAAGCCTTTCATCCTCAATGAAGCAATATATTTTATTTCTAGGGCTTTGACTAATTTCAAACTGATTTCTGAAAGCAGCATTACCACCGCGTTGTCATTATCATCATCCCTCCTCTAGAGGGCGCTATGACCCTTTTGTGTTAAGTTCATTATCACGTTCACCTGCCCCCTTGTTTCATTCTTTATTTATACCCGGTGGTCCGGAACCTCGGAGCTCTGCATTAGAAGACGGACGTCTGGAGGCCCACCTAACATCAAGTCACCCTATGTCCACGGCTTGAGGGCATAGGCTTCCTAATGGCATCCTGACCTGAGTCTGGGGCTCGGAGCACCTGGCCTCGTCACTCCATTTTAATCTCCTTGTTCCATGTCCTCGTTCCTGTTTTAAATCGATCTGTCTTGGATGGATTCCCTGGTTTTGGATTTTGGACTGCGCCTCGGATATTTTACATTGGACTGTTTTCTGGACTTGTTTGTCTGTGTTCCCCCCTTGCACCTGGATTCACTGTTGGCACCGCCCCCTGTTCCTGACTGTGTTTTCCCTGTAGCCCTTTTCCAATCACTTCCAGATTATACTATCTGCACAGTGTCCTAACCTATGCATCGTTACACTGGTGGGTAGATCTCAACCGATCTTAAAACCCAAGCAAGACCTGGTCTGTAGTGGCATGGGAGACTTCCAAAGAAAACCAGGCTGTTGCTACTGCCAGTTGTGTCAGTAGCACTCTTCCATTTTGACCAAAATTTCCAAACACTGTGCTGTAGGATGTACTATTCTTTACATGAGACACTAAAAGATGTTCCTGACTACTTGGTCATTAAAGATCCCACAACATTTTTCAAAAGTGTATGGGTGTTACACATGGCGTCCTGGTTAAATTAAACTTGTGCAATCTGGTCTTTTGAAAGATCCCACTTAATTCAATTGGGGGAATTAACTTTTATGTTGAAGTGCAGTGTAGCAGGGCTGCTGGCAGGTAAAAACTGATGTTTCACCCTGGAAGAGGCTGCACTAGAGGTGAAAAAACTAGGTTATTGTAAGTGCTTTGAGATCCTGTGGAATGAACAGCAATATATAAATACAAGGTTTATGATTAATTTATAATGAAGTCAAAGAAAAGACTTAGAAATATTTGGAAAAGTATAATTTTAGTATGTTTGGGAAACAGTGAATATGCTATCAGAGCGATGGATAAACCTAGAGGGCACCGTATTTTAACACGTTTCTCTCCAGTTCCATCCGCAAGAGAATAAAGATGATGCCACATATTTCTACACTGCATTTACTATATGTTATCTTACTTTTTTCCTAATTGACATTCACTAAAAATTGTAAGCTAGAAAATTTTATCATGTGCTTTGGGAGAGCTGCATATGTTAATTGCCCATGTTGAGAATAAGAAAAAAATAGACTTTACTCTCTTCCATGCTGGTTCTGACTCCAGCAACTCTAACAGAAATACCAGTACCATTATGAGTGTGCGTGCCTTTTTGTATTTTCAACAATTTTGATTGCTATCACTTATATTGGGAGAGAACTGGGAGACTGCAGGTGATTTAGCAAAGATTTATTGCTGAAATGTTTATTATAGTATGTTAAATATTAAATTAATATTAGAAATGAAAGTAGGGTTATTTTACAAAGCAAAATTGTTCAGCCGGATATATAAATAAATGTTGTTATTATTATAGCTTGTTGTGAACATGATATATTTTCAAGGTTTACCTCAACATTAAAATAATCTACATTTTGTCTTAATGCAAATTTCAAAAGCCAGTAATTATGAAACAATTTTACTTTAAATTGTGATTAATAAAAATATACATATTTCATACATATTGTACTGTAGTGGCTTTAAAACCATATGGTATCATACTGAACTTGTGCATATACAGTATAGTTCTACGGTATATCAATCATACTACATTGTTCATTGACATGTATGCTATTGTTTCTGCATATCTGTGGATATGACTTCATGGGATTCTTGTGTGTGGCACATTGGGAATTGTAGTCTTTGTTCATGTATTCAATTCACATGGCCCACATTTTAAAATTACAGTACATGCTGTGAAATAAATGAGTTTTCCCTCTCTCCCTCACAAGTTTTTTTAGTGCTTTTGAGCATATTACTGTGACTTTGTCTTGGCCAAAGGATACCTGGCTTCCATTGTTGCAGTGTCGTTTTACTGGCAAGACTCAG